AGTGGTGAGGGTGAGTGGTGACGGTGAGTGGTGAGGGAGAGTGGTGAGGGTGTGTGGTGAGGGTGAGTGGTTAGGATTTGTGATGATGGTGAGTGGTGAGGGTGAGTGTTGATGTTGAGGGTGAGTGGTGAGGGTAAGGGTGAGTGGTCAGTGGTGAGGTTGAGTGGTGAGTAGTAAGGGTGAGTGGTGATGGTTAGTAGTGAGGGTGAGTGGTGAGTGGTCAGTGGTGAGGGGTCAGGGTTAGTGGTGAGGGTGAGTGGTGATGGTGAGTGGTGAGGGTGAGTGGTGAGGGTGAGTGGTGAGGGTGAGTGCTGAGTGGTGAGGGTGAGTGGTGAGAGAGTCGTTAGTTTTGAGGGTGAGTAGTGAGGTTGAGTGGTGAGGGTTAGTGGAGAGTGGTGAGTGGTGATTGGTCAGTGGTGATTGGTCAGTGGTGATTGGTCAGGATGAATGGTGAGTAGTGAGGGTGAGGTTGAGTGGTGTGGGTGAGTGGTGAGGGTGAGTGGTGAGGGTGAATGGTGAGTGGAGGGAGAGTGGTGAGGGTTAGTGGTGATGGTGAGGGGTGAGTGGTGAGGGGTGAGTGGTGAGGGTGAGTGATGACGAAGAGTGGTGAGGTTGAGTGGTGAGTAGTAAGGGTGAGTGGTGATGGTGAGGGTTAGTGGTGAGAGTGAGTGGTGAGTGGTCAGTGGTGAGGGGTCAGGGTTAGTGGTGAGGGTGAGTGGTGATGGTGAGGGGTGAGTGGTGAGGGTGAGTGGTGATGGTGAGGGGTGAGTGGTGAGGGTGAGTGGTGACGTTGAGTGGTGAGTAGTAAGGGTGAGTGGTGAGAGGGCTTTGACAATACCTTAGTAGCTGTGTATATATGTAAGGTTATTAAGAAATATATTTTTCACCCGGGCAACGCCGGGTACTTCTGCTAGTCTTATATATAAAAGTCTTCGCGTGCTCGCGCTTGCGGGGGATTTGGCTCTCGGACGGTGGGCTGAATGTAGAAAAAAATTTGACAGGCGGCACGCCCTAAGCCCCGCGGTGGGAATAGGCTATTCCGTTTTCCAATCCGTAAAGTTTAAAGTAGTTTAATTAACACATTTGTGCCGTTTCTATGATTAATTATTTACTTATTGCGCCACATCGACCGTACCAAGTGACGCTAATTGCGTTGAGGGGGGGGGGACCCTGTCAAGTGGTGCGCGTTCACTCGAGCTCACGGGGACATTTTATTTTACGCGTTTAACAAGGAATAGATATACACATCACGCTGCCGATTTCTCTTCACAGTGTGATGTCCTCTTCCCCCCGCCACCCCAATGCGTGCAGTTACTGATATAAGTCCTTAGATATTAATTTAATGTTATTAAAGCGGTTACATAGTATTATTCTGGCGACGGCGGGGGGATGGTGGGGGGGGGCAAGGGTAGTGGCCCAGCCCGCAGCCTGGCAATATCTCACCTCCTCTGGCTTGCCAATCTGGCGAGGCCGCGGGCTCTGCACGGGACGAGGCGTTACTACGCCAATGTAAAGTACTATTTTATTCAATCTTTCGCTAAGAACTCAGGTTTATTGCTTTCTATTATTAAACAAATACATTTACAAATATTACAATGATAATGTTTGTGTACACATAACAACTTCGTCTTCATTCTTTACTATTATTAAACTAATAAGTTGCTTAATACTCTATTACTATTATAATGTTCGTGTGCAGAAACTACATGCGTGTGCCTAAAGTCGATGTCTGTGTGTGTGAGTCCATTTGTGTTTGTGTGCGTGTAAGTCGATGGGTTTCTACGTGTGTGGGTCCATGTGTGTGTGTAAGTCCATGTGTGTGTCTGTCTTTTTGAAACGGACAACGCCCCGTGTGTGTGTACGTACAATTGTTTGTGTGTGTGTGTGTCAGTCCATTTGTGTGCGTATCTGTCGCTGTGTGTGTTTTAGTCCACATGTGTGTGTAAGTCCATACGTGTGTGTTTCACTCGATGTTTATGTGTGTAAGTCAATGCGTGTGTGTGAGTCGATGTGTGTGCATGGCTCCATCTGAGTGTGTAAGTCAATGTGCGTTTGTGTGTCTATGTGTGTCAGTCGATGTGTGTGTGTGTGTTAATCCATGTGTGTGTATCTAAAGTAGATGTCTGTGTGTCACAGTCCATATGTCTATGGGTGTGTAGGGAAATGTGTGTGTCAGTCTTTGTAAGTGTGTGTAAGTCCATGTGTGTGTGTCTTAGTCGATAAGTGTGTGTAAGTACATGTGTGTTTACATCAATGTGTTTGTGAGTCCACGTATGTCTGTGTGTGAGTCGATGTGTGTGAGTCACTGTATGTGTGTACGTCGATATATGTGTTTGTAACTCCATGTGTGTGTATCTAAAGTGCATGTCTATGCGTGTGAGTCCATATGTGTGTGTGTGTAAGTCCATGTCTTTGTGTGTGTGAGTCGATATGTCTGTGTGTCAGTCCATGGCCGTCTGTGTTAGTCGCTTTGTGTGCATGGCTCCATGTCAGTCAGTGTAAGTCCATTTCTTTGCGTGTCTGTAGGTCCATGTGTGTATGTGAGTGAATGTATGTGCTTTATTGACCTGCTCAAGGCCTATGATACCATCAGTAGGCCTGGCCTCTGGGTTGTTCTTCATGCTTTCGGAGTCCCTCAAACTTTGCTCACGATCCTTAAGGACCTTCATGTTGGTGAGCGGCCCCGCGTCAAACTACGTGGCTGTCAGTCAGAGCCATTCCCTCTACACCTTGGGGTGTGACAGGAATGTCCTCTGGCTCCACATTATTTAACATATCTTTTTACCACGTAGTTGGTGAAGACTTCAATGGCTGTTCCCGAGGAATTACCATATGGTACAGATACAATGGGAGGTTGATCGATGCCCGGGTGCGGTCAAGGGATGCCTCCCTATTGCTCAACCATGTTATGTATGCCGATGCTCTGGTGATTGCTGCTCACTGCGGCTGAACCTGGAGCTTGCCACTAAGAGGTGGGGCCTTACCATTAGCCCCACCAAAACTAAGCACCTGCCTGCGTATTTTGTACCATCGAACAATCCACCCCCACAACTCACAATTGGTGATGCGGCAGTTGTGGAGAGATTGCCGAGATTCCAATACCTGCCCAGTGTGCTCATGACCGGCTCCGGTTTAACAGCAGAGGTCTCACTCCAAATCAGTGGAGCGGCATTATCTTTTCATCAGTTGCGTAATGCTGTGTGGAAGCTACCTGGTCTTTCGCTCCGCATGAAGCTCCAGGTCTTCTCGGCCACGGTAATTCCCTCCCTTCTCTACGCTTGCGAAACATGCACCCCCCTAATGGAACATCTTCGCCAGTTAGAAACATTTAGGCTGGCCTGCTAACGATCCTTTCCTGGATTTAACCATATTTGTGTGTGTGTGTCTAAGTTGATGTGTTTCTATGTGTGTGGGTCAATGTATGTGTGTAAGTCCATGTGTGTATCTTCCTTTTTCGCCCAAGCAACGCCGGGTACTTACCGCTAGTAAATGTATATAAATGAAGCAGACTTCCTGTGTTTTTTTGAGAACCAAATTGCGCCAACACTATGAAACCTACACACCCCATATTTTCCATGTGTACTCAAGGGTAAGTTATTATGTTTTCACGCAATTTTTAGCTTACCTGTTCACCTTCAACACCTGTAACACCTGCACACTCCAACACCCCGCTGCTGCTATATTTTTTCTCATTTACCACATTATCCTTACATATTATCAGGCCTGCATTTTTGCCACAAAATTAATTAACTTCCAGGTCCTTATTGTCCTCTCTGCACACGCACGGCTCACCTATAATATACTGTAATATTTCATCATGGAACCTTTTCCAGTACTAAAATATGAGAATAGGTTTTCTCCGTTTTTCTGGCAATAAAACAGGTGTTAAGATGTTAAAACACCAAACTGAAACCTTTAACAAGGAATCATGTGTGCATTAACCACAATACTTGTGGTCAGAATGCAAACAAAAACACTCTGATAGAAAATGCATGGTCTGCTGCTGAGGCAGACTGTTTTAGAAGGTTTGAAATGGGTGTAGCCCAAGGGTCATAAAGAAGTGGCCGGGGCAAGTGATGTTAACGTAATAAATTAGCATGTTAATGTGAAATCGAAAAGTGGTGCAATCCAAAGCGGCCTCCCTACAAGACAGAGAAGGAGCGAGGCTCTACCTGGGTAAACAACAACTACCACCACGACAACGATGTGAACTTCTCACTTCGGATCTCAGTGAGCACGCATGAAAATAAATCACGCTTGCTAACACAGAGCGCACGCCTGGGATACACTGCCGAGTTCATAGATGACCTCGCCACCGAGAAAGTTCAGCATTATCTGACAAGCACAACGGGGTGGCAGCCAGATGCGAACTGCCCATATCCCCCATTTAACACCCTTGCCGAGCACGCGTGTGTGTGAGAGATTTGCTCGCGAGCGTGCGGAATTCCGACGGCTGGGACGGGATAGAACCATTGCAAGTCTTCTTCCAGAGGAGGAGGTGAGGGGGGGGACGAGGGAGCCTCCGGGATCCCGTGAGACAACCCCAGGATGGGTGGCAGGGATACAGACCGGCATAGGAGATAACGCAGGCCATGAGACCCAAGTACGCGAGGAGGTAACCCAAGTACGCGAGGAGGTAACCCAAGTATGCGGGGAGGTAACCCAAGTACACCTGAATGTGACCAAGCTGCAGTCCACAGCGGAGATAGTCCAGTCCGAGGTGGGAGGGCTGCGCTCCATGGTCGGGGGGCTAACCAGGCGAGTATCTCAATAAGAGGCAGAACTCGAACAAATGCGCACTGGGAGGGTAAGGGGGAGTGGGAAAGGGGCCTCTTATGGAGCCACCGCCCTTCCCCGTGCGTGCTATCTATGCAACCAATGGGGGCATCTCGTGATAGACAGTCCCCAGATCGCCCGCGTGAGTGAAGCATCAGGGTTAAACACCAAAGGCCTCCCTAAAGAGGGGACCACAGAGGAGTGCAATCCACGTGGTCCCAACACAAATAAACTGTCGTGATAATGGTGAGCGAGTGACCCCCACACAGATGCCGACAACAACACCCCAGAATGCGGCGACTGTGAGTGACTGGCTGCGGGAGCTGGTGGCAGGTATAATGGGGGCCACGTCGCTCGTGGAAGGGCAGGTGAACAGGCGGCGTACCCGGATTCTGCTGGACACGGGGAGCGGTAACGTCACTCTTGAGTGCAACACACGGCAGCGTGGTCGGGGTTGAAGTGAGCCGCCTACAGGCCCCGGATCGTGCGCTGCACACTGCAAGTGGAAGTGGGATGGGGAGGGTCACCCTTAAGGGTCGCCTCGGACACCAGGTGTGTAACCAGGAGTTATACGTGTCGAGCGTGTTATGCCACGAGTGTATTGCAGGTACCGACCTCCTGGGAAAGTTGGGGCTCAGCGTGCAGCCACCGTGGAGGGCAGCGGGGAGCGGATTCCTTTCTTGGGACAAGAGCCGGGTTGCCCTCGCTTCAAGCCCGTGGCCGCTATCCTGGCGTCGGCCGTCACCGTCGGCATTGGTGTTCCACTGGGTTTTCCGTTTTTCTTCCAAACCTAAACTCAAAATATATTTGGTGGTGTTCAAACAGTCGAATGCAGGACCCTCCTGAAACATAATCTTTAACTGCTAAATGAGAAATTAAATTGAAAAACCCTCAAACACAGTACAATATTTTTTATTTTACCAGGTGAGGCCATCTGAGCTGCATAGCTCTTTTTCAGAATCGACCTGGACACAAATGATAGCTCAACTTAGTGGGTTATAATATGGAAATGTATTGCAGCAAAATTCTCAAAACGCATGTTTCTAAATGTGGAGAAAAATCAATGCCACTACAGGGAGAGAGAGAAAAAAAATAAAAATGTAAACTGCAATTATAAATGCGTCAGGGTTGGAATCGAACTCACGCACGCAGAGTACGCTCACGGAGTACACTAACACAAATGAGTACACTCGCTCACTCGGATTATTTTTTCTCTGGGTCCTTCGATTTTCCCCTCCACATTTAGTAACATGCATTTAGATTATTTGGCTGCTACAATCTTCCACGTGAAAAGCCATTTCGTTGAGCTATCATCTATGGCCAGGTGGCTTCTGACAAAAGATCTAACAGCTCTGTGAGCCTTGATTGGTAATATAAAAATAGTTTACACCATTGGAATCTCATTTGCCATAAAAAAAATATAATTGTATTTTTTTACCCTTTTATCTGGCAACAAAACTGACTCGTTTTTACGAGGAATCATGTTTTCATAGACCACAATACCTGCAGTCATAATGCAAACAAAAAACATAACTCTGATAATGTATGCACTGTCCTTAAAGTAGATTGGTCCACACCCGAGACAGCTTTCCTTAGAACCTAGTCTCACATGGTGTTGGACCAGATGACGCCAAAAGGCGCACAACTCAAAGACAATGCACCATCAGAGAAAGAGACTAGGCTCTAAGGAAAACTGTCTCGGGTGTGGACCAATCAACTTCAAGGACAGTGCATACATTATCAGAGTTATGTTTTTTGTTTGCATTATGACTGCAGGTATTGTGGTCTATGCAAACATGACTCCTCGTAAAGAAGGTGTCAGTTTTGTTGCCAGATAAAAGGGTAAAAAACAATTATAAAAATAGTTGTTCATCGGTCTAAAGGGTGCATCAGCAAAACCAACTCGGCAGAACGCTCCTGAATTAGAGTGCTGAGACTCATTGTGGTCATGTACTCGAGTGTGCACCATGGTGGCTGGGAGATGTTAACTGCCTCTCCTGGAATACAGGAGGTGGTGGGTTCGATCGCGACCCCTCCTGTATATTTGGAGTTTGTGTGTCTCTCTCTCTCCCCGTGGTCGCGTGGATTTTCCTCCGGATCCTCAGGGTTTTCCCCTCCACATTTAGAGTCAACATCACCACGCGTTTACAGTATTTGACCGACAGACATTTCCACACGTTGATAAGCCACTTTGTTCTGGACTGGTCGCTTCAGAAAACAAGAGCGGTATAGCAGCTGAAGTGGGCTTGGCCTGGTAGGATAATAAAAAAACTGTAGAAATACTTAAAAGAAACAAAGTTTCAAAGTAGTGAGTCAGATGAAGACAAATTAAACTTAAGCAGAGAATTAAAGCAAATGCAATCAGGCGAGGGCAGGAGGCAAGGCCCCGCATGGCTAGGCCCCGCGTTGTAATGTTCCAACCTGAACATGGATTCCATACTCGCTGCTACTCAATTGATATCCCTACGAGAGACGGAGCGAGGCTCTACCTGGGTAAACAACAACAACCACCACAACAACAACAACCACAACAACAACAACCACCACGATGTCAACTTCTCCCCTCGGATCTCAGTGAGCGCGCGCGCGGTGCAGCAGCTTCCGGATATATCGTGACGTCACGCGGCAGCAGGAGTGACATCACGTCACTAGCGGGGTTCATCACACAATCCCCTCCCACAACAAGCAGCGGTGTAATTGAATAAATTATGTTAACAAGCCGGGCCCACGTGGGGTGATTGGGCTTGGTTGCTGAACCCGTCGCAATGAAATAAATTATGTTAATGAACCGCCAGTCAAACGCGCGGTGGAGGGGGGGGGGATTGAATATCTTGGTGACATGACGTCACTAGCGGGGAACAGCTTTCCCTGGCGTCTCACGCCGACGAGTTAATGAGTGGTGACGTCACTGTGTGTGTATAAACTGTGTGTGTGCACTGTGTGTACAAACTGTGTGTGTACAAACTGTGTGTGTGTGTACACTGTGTGTGTACTCTGTGCGTGTACACTGTGTGCGTGTACACTGTATATACACTGTGTGCGTGTACACTGTGTGTGTACACTGTGTGTACACTGTGTGTACAAACTGTGTGTGTGTACACTGTGTGTGTGTACACTGTGTGTGTGTACACTGTGTGTACAAACTGTGTGTGTGTACACTGTGTGTACAAACTGTGTGCGTGTACCCTGTGCGTGTACACTGTGTGTACAAACTGTGTGTTTGTGTACACTGTGTGTACAAACTGTGTGTGTGTGTACATTGTGTGTACACTGTGTGTGTACAAACTGTGTGCGTGTGTGTACACTGTGTGTTGGCACAGTCGGGGGTACAGATGGTGCATCGGCCAGTCAACTGAGTCAGTCGACCCATGGCACCTGGGTCTACCCCGTGCACATAGCCTGGCACAAGCGCCATGGTGACGTGACCGCCACTTAGTGGCGAATGGCGGTTGTTGTTATTGTTACTGTGTGTCCGGCAAAACAAGAGATGGCACCTCAGCCAGCCATCTCATTGAGTAGCCATTACCAGATCATCAGCAGATGCAACAGGGCTGACCAGCAGGGAAACAGGTCCCTGCGGGGTGGGCTGGTAGGAACGAACAAATGAATGGCTATAATAAAATGAAATGGCGGGGGTACGATACGAAGGGAGAGTTTGAGGCCTAGTTCTAGGCTTTAGGCCTAGCTGTAGGCTTTAGGCCGCTGTGAGTTAATTTTAAACTATCTCAGGTAATTATAAGGGAATGTTACACTTGTTTAGCCAGGAAAGCCTCACTGAGTCTAAAGGTTTTTGTAGGGTCCTGCCAAGTGTTTGCAGTAGGGGGCGATGTTGCTACACGTAATCGGACGGAGGGACGATATAATCTATTGTAGGCTGGTTCACTTCGTTCCTACCAGTATAATCCCTTAACTATAACCAGTCATCGATAAGCATATTATTTTTAACCGCGACGAATGCAATTTATTTATACGGCCATTGTGAGCTCCTCAAACTACATAATTATTGAACATGCTATGTAATGTGTAATAAACCCCGTTGAGACGTCGTCAATTGAGAATTCTTTTTTCAGTTTCGTTCACAGCTTCCACCACATTCGTTCCTCCAGTTCCCTTGCTCCTTCACGCTGTTGGCTGACAGCGTGAGAGAGAGACTGCGGCGGCCCGCCACGTGGCAGGCTCCGGACCACGGCACCAGCCACGTGGCTTCTCCGCTCCTTTAAATCCCTGGCCCACGTGATGCCCCGCAGCCAATCCTCAGCCACACCCCTGGAACTTTCCCGAAGCTAATGTACGGCTCCAGGGCCACGCCCCTAACTCGACTCCCCATTAGTTGCGGGCTGAGGCCGGCAGAGCCCATCATTATTATCCAGGTGTAACCTCACATTACAAATGTAATGCATTGGGCCAGAGTGAATTTCTGTCACAAGCCGAGTTGAACAGGAAATGGTTCCAACTCCTGGTCACGCAGCTTTAGATGGGCCTGCCCAAAATCATAAAAATCCTCAACGAATGTGAGCAGAGGCAGAGACATCGAAATCAAGGAACCCAAAGCACCAAGCCTATTTAGGGTACCATAGGCCTGCTGTACTCGATCGACAGAAAATACAGCCGCCCCTTGAATATCGTAGGTTACGTTCTTGGAAAATGCCACGCGACAGCTAAAAACGCGATATTCAATACTTAACCCTTACCCAAGTAATGGCGTTAGGTAAACGTCAACTAAAATTTACATCACAATTGAAATACGTACTGTATTCCAAATCAACTAAAATTAAACTATTGAAATAAACATTGGGAAACCGTGTCTCATGCTTTTGGTTACAGGCCTACCCAACACTTATGGTCACACATGCTGTCTGCTTCTACTCGACCTTGTCCGAAAAGTCCTCCCAAATCTCCACATCCACAAATGGATGTGATTTGTCTCGGGCTCCATTAGTGACCTGGAAGTCAAACCCTAGAGCCTTCACAGGTCACCTTCACGAATGGTGACGTTTCCCAGCTGCCCTCTTTATTGGGTCCTTGCATCACAAACGATCGGCTTATGGAACTTCAAATTTCACACGTCAATCTCAGACTCTGCTCCTTGAAGACCTCCTTACACGTGTTTCAGTTTCAAGACAATTCAAAAGGCCTTCCAATTGTACATTAAGTGGTTTTTAATGTGTGTTCCCTGGCAGTTGTGAAGATTTGATTACTGTGTAAATGCATTCCAAGACAGTGCAGTCGTTAGATTCCGTGGAGACGAGTTCTGCTCTTGGTGACATCACAAGCCAGAGAGAGGGGGAGGCCCTGACGTAACCCACTCGTTAATTTGAGGTGACGTCTTCAGAGGGAGCGTCTACATATTTAGGTAAACATGTGGTAAACAAGGTGGGATATCAATGCAGACAGATATATCTAAAGTTTTATTTGAATAGAATTTAAAATTCAATAAAACCTAGGCTAGAATACAAATCTGTAACAAAAATCCACGATGCCTTCAAATGTGCTCTTTAAAGTACCTCCTTGAGAAAAAACAGATCGGCAAACATCTTTCATTCAACGTTCTCTACACGAAACAGAGGAATGTTTTACACAAACTATAAATACCACGGCCTTTTAGGAATGCATGTGTAATGGGTTCCGGAGACACTTGTAGAGGTATCTTCTTTATTACAATACAACACTCCAACAGTCCTGATACTCTGTTACAGCCTAGATACACTACTCTGGCTACGCTCTGGGGTCCTCCGGCTGCAATTACCCTAGGGGAGGCTAATTGACCCGACCCAGCCAAGGTGCGGGTCTGGACTCTGGCTTCCTCGGAACTCGCCCTTACAAGGACGTAGAGCCGGGAGTCCCAGAGTCCCACCACTGGCCCTCACAACGTCCCGGCCCATACAAGGACAAGTGGGACGAGGGGGTCCAGGGTACTAAGCTGGCTGATCTTGGGTCTTGAGCTGCAACTGGCCCCGATCGGCCAGGGAGCTGCCCTTTTATGCCTCGTCCCCAACGAACGAGGGGTGGGGTTGTGTGCGCCCCCAGATATCCCACAGAGCACGCACAGCCCCCCCCCCGTTGGTGGCGCCAAAGGACTCAACTGTTTGGGGTGCCTGGGATTCTAGCGCCTCGCGCCGAGGGCTTATCTGCCTAGGATCCTAGAGCCCCCAGCAGCCCCCCCTTTCTTATGGCACTACATATGTGTTCAGTACAAGCCACCTGTGGACTGGTTTTGGTGTACAATGTCTCAACAGTCCGGCTTGCTTCAACTGATGTTCATCGGCAAGGTCCATTTCAAGTCTCAGTTCGACAAAATGTATACGTAACACAAAATGATAATTAGTGTTCTTGTGGAGAATGTATCTCCTATACGTAACTTATAAGTGGCATACCTTAACTGATGAATGATCCGACTATGCTCCCGATTTCAAAGACAATGAGTTGCCCCAGTCAGATGCGTCCTGATTCACAAAAATACCCTTTGACTCGTATCACAAAAATAACAGCTCTCACGTGAGTTTTTGTACAGGTTACCACCAAAACAGATACTTTGTCCTGACAGCACATATTCCATGTTTGACATTAATACACAAAATGTTGTATGTACGTACAAAATCAGACAGGTATTCTTTCAATTATGATTCAAAATAATCAAAGGGCACATTGGCAACATTTTATTACTATACTGAAATGTACTGCGTCACGTTGCAACGTATTTACAAGTTGATCTCTGCGGAGATGAGGCCTATATGTGCAGCACTCTCAGAGGGAAGCCAAGTAGTAGTACATTCTCTATTTATTGCAGAGGTTCAAGGTTCAAATCCGACTGGCATATTATCATCTCCCCCGACTTACAAACTCATATCCACGTGGCACACAGGGGCAGATGCCCATAATGGGCACCCATCGAGTGTCTAAGATGAGATATGATACAAAACACTTGAGTCACTCCTGGTTAGAGATCACCCCAACCCACAGGTTCACAAATACTGGCCACGCTTACACTGCAGTTTGAACCTAGAAATTGAGTGTTCAACTTCACATTATATTCATTAGAAAGGCCTGTGACAAAGGTGCATCCATTGGAGCTTAATTGTCTGAAGCTTGCACATCTACCTGGTCTCCATTTGACTTTGTATTGTCTAAGAAGTCCACCCACACCTCCACATCCACAAACTCATGGGAGTTGCCTCGCTCTGCCTCACAGTCAGAATTTAGTTCCTGTTTCACACTGCCTCCATCTATGTGAAGGTCCGATTTTGGAGTTGAATAATCTTCAAATTTAACCTTCACTTCTACGCTCTTCACTGTTACTTCTTCACATTTCACTTTCGCCTCTTCATATTTCACCTTGATACCTTTCAAAGTGTCCAGGCTGGGATTGTCTTCTGGTTCTTGTTTCATGCACAATGGGGTCATTGCAGCACTTTGACTTTCACAAGCTGATTTCAGATTACACTTCTTGTGGATTTTCTGATGCTTGTGTGTTCTCTGGTGTTTTTTAAGATTTGATGACTGTGCAAACGCTTTCCCACAAACACTGCACTTGAAGAGTTTCTCTTCTGTGTGTGTTCTCTGGTGCTGTTTAAGAGTAGATGAATCTAAAAATGTCTTCCCACACACACTGCACTTGAAGGGTTTATCTCCTGTGTGTGTTCTCTGGTGTCGTCGAAGATTAGATGAATCTGAAAACGCCTTCTCACACACACTGCACTTGAAGGGTTTATCTCCTGTGTGTATTCTCTGGTGGGTCTGAAGAGTTGATGACTGTGCAAACGCCTTCCCACACAGAGTGCACTTAAAAGGTTTCTCTCCTGTGTGTGTTTTCTGGTGGGTCTTAAGATTTGATGACATTGCAAACACCTTCCCACACAAAGTGCACTTAAAAGGTTTCTCTCCTGTGTGTGTTCTCTGGTGTTGTTTAAGAGTAGATGAATAAAAAAATGCCTTCCCACACACACTGCACTTGAAGGGGTTATCTCCTGTGTGTGTTCTCTGGTGGGTCTGAAGATATGACGACCTTGAAAATGCCTTCTCACACACAGTGCACTTGAAAGGTTTCTTTCCTGTGTGTGATCTCTGGTGTTGTTTAAGAGTAGATGAATAAAAAAATGCCTTCCCACACACACTGCACTTGAAGGGCTTATCTCCTGTGTGTGTTCTCTGGTGGGTCTTAAGATTTGATGACTGTGCAAACGCCTTCTCACACACAGTGCACTTAAAAGGTTTCTCTCCTGTGTGTGTTCTCTGGTGGATCTTAAGATTTGATGACAATGCAAACGCCTTCCCACACAGAGTGCACTTAAAAGATTTCTCTCTTGTGTGTGTTCTCTGGTGTGATTTAAGAATGGATGACCGTGCAAACACCTTTTTACACACACTGCACTTAAAAGGTTTCTCTCCTGTGTGTGTTCTCTGGTGGGTCTGAAGAGTTGATGACTGTGCAAACGCCTTCCCACACACAGTGCACTTGAAGGGTTTCTCTCCTGTGTGTGTTCTCTGGTGCTGTGTCAAGTTTCCAGTACGATCCATGCTGTTTGCATTCTGGTCGCATTGTTTCCTTCTTGTAACGAGCTGCGCTGAGTGCCTTTGCTCCATCAGACCAACTCTGCAGAGCGAGCATCAGCTGCAGACAGAAAAACATATCCACACCATCTCCGTGAGTATTGAGGCACAGAGGAATGCATATATACAGTCACACATGACTTACACATCTATACATATTCATATTTTCATGAAATAGTGAAAGAGATTCCCTAATTCATCACACGGGCTGCTAAGGCACACAATGAGAGGGCAAATGGTCATAAATATGACTCGACACCCAAGTGTCTTCAAAATGAATATTTACCAAAAACTCCAAGCACACAATTTTGGTTGTCTAGCTATGACAGGAATATTTATTTAAGAAAAATTAGCTAACATAGCAAAGGCTGTTGATATTATTTGTATTATGCAGAAATGTATAAATTAATGTTCATTTGCAACTTAAAGGTCTGAAGCCAGGCTCAGATGAGCTTGAATGCGAGGATGAACAGATCTAACTTAAGCTGCATATGTGCATTGTTAGTTTCCATTCTTATAAAATCTTGTTCTGTACCTGTTGAATTCCATGACGAAATGGGGCCTTGCATATGTTCTACAAAAAGATCACCTCCCTGGGAAAATCTTGACTTAAAACTTTTGTGATAGCGGGAATTCATATTCTTTGGTTATTTCGGTAAAGTCACGTAGATATAAAATAATAATACAAATAAAGTGAATAGAAGAAAAAAAACGACTAATGTAGACTGTAGCCTGGTTCTTAACCTCGGTGAGCATACTGGCAGTCTATAATGTAGAAAATGTAGCCTGGTTCTTAACCTCAGTGAGTGTATTGGCAGTCTATAATGTAGACTATTGCCTGTTTTATTGACAAGACCTTTGCAATGGACTAGACCTTGGCGATGGACACTCACAGCTTTGTATGCAAAAAAGTCCAGGCAGCTTCCACATAGTGTTACAGAGCCTAATGAAAAAATGCTGCTAGACTAATTTGAAGTGACACTTTGGATGCCAAATAAGGTCATGAACACATTAACCAGGTATAGGAGCTCCTCCACCACGTGTAGAACGACCTGATTATTCATGGAGAGCTGAGCAGGTGCAGTGTTGTATGACATTAAATTCCCAGGGAGGTATTCTTTGGGTCTTTCGGTAAAGTCACGTCACTTAACCGAGAGACTCAAAGAATATGAATTCCTGCAGTTACGAAAACTTTAAGTCAAGATTTTCCCAGGGAGGTGATCTTTTTGTAGAACATATGCAGGGCCCCATTTCGTCATGAAATTCTCCAGGTATAGAACACGATTCTCCAACTCAATATCATTGAGTAGCCATGACCAGATCATCAACATGCCTAACATGGTTGACCAGCAGGGGACGATCCCTTGACTATAACCAGGCATCGATTAGCGTATCATTGTTACTGTATGAAATGCAATTTTGTATAGGGCCATTGTGAGCTTCTCAAAATACATAATTATACTTAAGCATTACCTAAATAATGGGGTTAGGTAAACGGCAACTAAAATAAACATCACAATTGAAATAAGTACTGTACTGTATTCCAAATAAGGAATCATGTGTGCATTACCCACAATACTTGTGGTCAGAAAGCAAACAAAAACACTCTGCTAGAAAATGCATGGTCTGCTGCTGAGGCAGACCGTTGTAAAAGGTTTGAAATGGGTGTAGCCCAAGGATCATAAGGAAGTGGCCGGGGCTAGTGATGTTAATGTAATAAATTAGCATGTTAATGTGAAATCGAAGAGTAGTGCAATCCAAAGCGGCCTCCCTACAAGACAGAGAAGGAGCGAGGCTCTACCTGGGTAAACAACAACTACCACCACGACAACAATAACCACGATGTGAACTTCTCACTTCAGATCTCAGTGAGCGGACACTAAAATAAATCACGCTTGCTAACACAGAGCGTACGCCTGGGATACACTGCCGAGATCATCGATGACCTCGCCGCCGAGAAAGTTCAGCAGTATCTGACAAGCACAACCTGGTGGCAGCCAGATGCGAACTGCCCATATCCCCCATGTAACACCCTTGCCGAGCACGCGCACGTGTGTGAGAGATTTGCTCGCGAGCGTGCGCAATTCTGACGGCTGGAACAGGAGCACACCATTGCAAGTCTTCTTCCAGAGGAGAAGCTCGCGAGAACGGTGAGGGGGGGGGGACGAGGGAGCCTCCAGGACCCCGTGAGACAATCCCAGGATGGGTGGCAGGGATACAGACCGGCATAGGAGATCACAGGCCATGTAACCCAAGTACGTGAGGAGGTAACCCAAGTATGTGGGGAGGTGACCCAAGTACACCTGAATGTTACCAAGCTGCAGTCTACAGCGGAGATAGTCCAGTCCGAGGTGGGAGGGCTACGCTCCATGGTCGGGGGGCTAACCAGGCGAGTATCTCAATAAGAGGCAGAACTCGAACAAATGCGCACTGGGAGGGTAAGGGGGAGTGGGCAAGGGGCCTCTTATGGAGCCACCGCCCTTCCCCGTACGTGCTATATATGCGACCAATGGGGGCATCTCGTGAGAGACAGTCCCAAGATCGCCCGCGCGAGAGAAGCACCAGGGTTAAACACCAAGGCCTCCCTAAAGAGGGGACCACAGAGGGGTGCAATCCACGTGGTCCCAACACAAATAAACTGTCATGATAATGGTAACGAATGACCCCCACGCAGATATTGACAACAACACCCCAGAATGCGGCGACTGCGGGTGACTGGCTGCGGGAGCTGGTGGCAGGAATAATGGGGGCCACGTGGCTCGTGGAAGGGCAGGTGAACAGGCGGCAAACCCGGATTCTGCTGGACGCGTGGGGCGGTAATGTCACTCGTGAGTGCAACACATTGCAGCGTGGTCGGGGTTGAAGTGGGCCGCCGACAGGCCCCGGATCGTGCGCTGCACACTGCAAGTGGAAGTGGGATGGGACTGCTGGGGAGGGTCACCCTTAAGGGTCGCCTCGGACACCAGGTGAGTAACCAGGAGTTATACGTGTCGAGCGTGTTATGTCACGAGTGTATTGCTGGTACCGACCGCCTGGAAAAGTTGGGGCTCAACGTGCAGCCCCGCCGGCGATGCGCCACCGTAGAGGGCAGCGGGGAGCGGATTCCTTTCTTGGGACAAGAGCCGGGTTGCCCTCGCTTCGAGCCCGTGGCCGCTATCCTGGCGTCAGCCGTCACTGTCGGCATTGGTGTTCCACTGGGTTTTCCGTTTTTCTCCCAAACCTAAACTCAAAATATATTTGGAGGTGGTCAAACAGTCCAATGCAGGACCCTCCTGAAACATAATCTTTAACTGCTAAGTAAGAAATTAAATTGGAAAACCCTCAAACACAGTACACTATTTTTATTTTACCAGGTGAGGCCATCTGAGCTGCATAGCTCTTTTTCAGAATCGACCTGGACACAAATGATAGCTCAACTTAGTGGGTTAAAATATGGAAATGTATTGCAGCAAAATTCTCAAAATGAATGTTTCTAAAATGTGGAGAAAAATCAATGCCACAACAGGGAGAGAGAGCAAAAATAAAACATGTAAACTGCAATTATAAATGCGTCAGGGTTGGAATCGAACCCACGACATTCTGCATACCATGTGAGGTAGTTGACATCTTGCCACCCTAGTACAATATATCACACACAAACACATTACAGAGAATTCTAGATTTGAAGCTTTCGTGACTGCAAGGATTCATATTCTTAGGTTTTTTCGGTAAAGTCACGTAGGTAAAACATCAAAATTAATGAAAATAAAACAAAAATCACGACGTTTCGGAGGTAACACAAGTCTCCGTCATCAGGTGGGACCGTCACAGCCGAATTAGCTGCATCAAGTGAGGCAATGATTCAAGATGTAATCCCTTATAAGCAAGTTGAAGGGGTGGGGGAGAGGGGGGGAGCTCATCAGAATGTGGTAGCCAATGAATGGAAACGTATCGAGAGGGAGGGGGGCGGGGCTCAAAGACAGCACGGAGTGCTCAACACATTGGGCAGAGAGGGGGAGGGGAGGCCTGATACACATGATAGACAAAAGAACGAAAATGCCCATGTTTATACCAATGCTGGCTGAACAATGAAGAGAGTACTGTTAAAAAATAACTGGGAATGTTAACACTCGGTAAAGTAAAGTAAAATAGTGCCTGTCAGATAAGATGGTCCAAAAAGGTGTAATTAAGTCTTTTTTGAGTGGTTGATAACATCTTTCCAATGATTACTAAGTTTGTACCCATCATCACGGTTGAAATTATGTCTGTTTGTATATTTGTATGGCTTTGTGTACAAACCTTTGATGGTAGCCGGGAGGTTTGCAGAGAACCTTGGTCTCGGAAAAGACAATTTCATGAGAGCCCACCGAGTTGTAGCAATGATCGGCAACGGCAGAAGAATCAGTTCTGCCGTGTTTCAGATCTGACTTGTGCTTGCGGACACGATCAGAAACATGACGTTTCGTTTCTCCAATGTAGCAATCACCACAAATGCAACTCAATTTGTAGACTCCAGAATACTGTAAGTCAGGAACAACATCCTTCACAGATGGAATCAGATCACGGATGTTATGCACTGTACTGAATCGGACTTGGATCTTATGTTTGTTTAGAATTTTGGAGATCTTTTTGGTCACGCCTGCTATGTATGGTAACGTGATGGTTTTGGTCGGAGTTTCATGTGGCTGTTTCTGTGTGGTGGGAGAGACAGCTTGGCGGATGGTACGGTCAGAGTATCCGTTCATCCTGAGGGCCCGATGTACATGTCTTAATTCACCGGTCAGGTGGTGTTTGTCAGAAATGCCATGGGCTCTGTGGTATAGCGTTTTGATGAGAGAATTCTTTTGAGATGGGTGGTGGTGGGAATCCGGTTTCAAGTAGGAATCTGTGTGGGTGGCTTTCCTGTAGACAGAATGTCCCAAGGATCCGTCAGGCCTCC